TCACGCGCGTGATCCCGCGCGTGCCCATCTCTAATTGTGCGTCGCTCTCCCAACCAACCGTTACACTACAATATTACATTTCTTCGCGTAACAATGCCAAAAATCCAATGCCGATAATACCGAATTCATAAACATTGAATTTGGCCGAAATAATTATCAGTTGTCCCAGAGTTTATGAGAACAGCTGTAAATCTGAATACATAAATAAATCTGGATATATAATTATATCCTGATATATAATTATGTCTGGATATATAACTTATCTGGATTAAATATATCCGGATATAAAATATATGCGTTTACAGCTGTTTTCATAATTCCTGGGACACCTGTAAATATTAGCCGAATGATTTTCGGCCGATCCGGTTAATTTATTATTTTGGCATAATAATAATAGATTACAGCTATTATCATAATTTCTGGGACACCTGCTCATTACCCAAAATCTTTTTGGTCGTTCGGTAAATTACCTAACTCTCTGGAAACTGCATCACTGCCTTCGGACCTTCAGTCTGGAGGCAGTGATGTAACTTCCGGAAGTTAGGTAATTTACCGAACGACCAAAAAGATTTCTGGTAATGAGCAGGTGTCCCAAAAATTATGATAAAAGCTGTAATAAAAATTGGTACTAGTACGTGCGTACAAATTTTATTGAATCTATAATGCCGAAATAATAAATTAACTGGATTGGCCGAAAATCATTCGGCTAATTTTTTATAGGTGTCCCAGGAATTATGAAAACAGCTGTAATAACAGTGTCTAGTGTTATAAGATAGCTGCGCAGCGCGTGATGGCGCGCCGGACCAGCACGATTACGTACGTATCTGGATATTTTACATTTCATATAATAAACATTTGATTCATACCCTGAATAAATTGTATAGTGAAGGGTGTATTATCCGCGGCATTATGTGAAGAGAATATATTAACCTATCATGACAAAACTTCTATATCTTTTAATTATGTTAACAATATATTTCCAATCATAGGTATCAATTTTCCTATGAAAACTACGCAAATACGATTATGTGGGTACCCCTATATTAAGAAAATTCCAGGCTGAAGGCTCTAAAATTTTTGGTCCAGATTTAATACAGTCACGTGCTGCGCAACATAGTTGCGCTAAAATCAGGATCGCGATGCAATTAAATTTAATCAAGAATATGCTTTGTGCAAGATAATAAATTTCATAAATCATATAATTATTGTCAAGAAAAAACTTCAAACCGGAAATTTAAATTTATTATTATTATATCAGAAATGACATTTTTAGTGATTTATTTTTCGCAAAATCTCAATTGATTGGACTATGCATTAAATGCAATAAAACGCGAAATTCTGCATTTAGACTTCACGAGATTGCATCACATAGCATTATATTTGTAATATGAGATATATTTAACCATATGAACATACTAACTTGTATCTTTATCGCTTTAACAGGTTTTTAAACATACAGTTGAGTTTTTTATAATTATATTCGGAATACACTAACCAAAATGGATTTTATCATTATATGGAAACGCAAAATCTTGAACTGCATCACACATTTTAGCACGTATCTGAGCTTACCGTTACGAAAAACTTTATATTGGTGTGATCTAGAATTAGGACAGGATCATTTAATTTAATTTTTTTTAATCCTCTTATTTTTTCATTAATATCGATTAGTAAACAAATATAATGATTAACAACGAAATTCTTACAATTGGTTATTCGTCTCATTTTTACGCTCACATCATACATTCCATAAATCGAGAATGGTCGATCCAATTTCGATTCTGCGTTCAAATGAATACTATAAACTAAGTATCTAATTAGGATGGCACAAAACGGATTAGTCGTTCATAAAATATGGCCATTAAACGATGCCAAATATTAAAATTAGAGTTGAAATAAACAATTGCTTTATCAAAATATTATTGATATTTTATGAACGACTGATCCGTTTCAATGTTTTTTCTTTTAAATGAATACTAAGAATGTTGGCATTTGTTTAAACCCAAAATTATCAAAAACGGATTAGACTATCGGAGCATCACTATGATCGACCATCCACTAATATTTCATGTAATGCAGATCCCTGTTTCGATGATTTTGAACTCAAAATGAATTATACAATTTTAGCATTCATTTAATCCAAATTTAAGAATAATTTGGCAATTCTGAAAATACGGAAAAAATTTGTTGCATATTATTTTTCCGAATCCTTTTTGCGGTCACTGTATTTCTTCCATTTTCAATGATATAAGGAAAATACGGAAAAAATTTGTTGCAAATTATTTTTCTAGATCCTTTTTACGGTCACTGTATTTCTCCTCCCATTTTCGATAAGGAAAATACGGGAAGATTTTGTTGCATATTATTTTTCTGGATTCTTTTTGCGGTCACTGTATTTCTCCCATTTTCGATAATATATTATGAAACAAAGTCCTTGCACCCTATGAAAAAAAATTTTTAGGCAATGTTCTAAAAATTTTCTAAAGTTATCCTGTTTTTATTCAAAAAAAAATGCTCAGAATGGAGTCGATTTTCCAAACATATACTGATTTTATACAATGTTTAACCTCAAGTTGTCAACGCCAAATTTTTTTTTTACATCATGGTATAAAAATTGTACAATATCGTATTGGCATTCAGAAAATCGACCCTGTTACGAACATTTTTTTGAACAATGCCTACAATAACTATGCATACTTTTTTATAGGGCACAGCAACTGCATCTGTGAAGCCTAATCGTTACGAAAACCAAAGCAAAAACGAGGTTCTTGCCCTGCTACTTCAGTCGCGAAGCCTGACCTTACTTACCAATATATTTCGCCTAACAAACCCGCCGCTAAGGGATCCGTGTCATCTCACCGACAACTAATTTACAGACAACTCATTTCACGGATAATTAATTCACAGATAAGCATTCCACAGTTTTTTTCACCGAAAGCTTATTTTACCGACAAGTTTTTCTTATAATTTGTACTACCTTGACTATAATTTTAAATATAATCCTAACGACTATGACCAGATTACTTTGTCGATGAAATGAGCTGTTGGTGAAATAAATTGTCTGTGATATGAACCTTGTTTGTAAATTAATTGTCAGTGAAATAAAATTAATTACTGTATACGTATAAAAATGTTTGATTACTAAATCATCAGTTAACAGTAAAATGTCGTAATTTCATTGTTTTTTGACGCGATTATATAGGTAGTGATTGCAATCACAATTAAAAATATATTAAGAGTTTTATTGGTTTGATACGGAAGTGAAACGAAAATGATTTAATGATTAATATCATATCAGATATACAGAATATAAAAGGCCAAAATGATAAATTGAATCTTTTGCTCTTAAAAAGATGATAATGAAGGATATACCAAAAACTGTAGTTATAGAGACCCATACAATTATTGTTAAATCACAACATTAAATACTTACTATGCTACGGCAAAAACGCTCTAAGTTAAACTACAATAAGAACGGTTATCATATGATCTCGTAAAAAAAATAATTCTTCACGCAAGATGACTTTCTATTACTAATAACAATGATGTTCAATTACCATTTGGGCGAGCTGTTAACTTTATTTATATTCACTTCTTATAGCACAAAGCAGAAAACAAGTTAATGGAGTGGCAAAACAGGGACTTGTGGTAGTTAAGCATGATATACTATAATATGATAATGCTAATATATACTGTAAGGCCGATAATATATAATTTTTTCTTCATCGATTTCGATATACAATTATTGTCGTGTAACATTATGTGGGTTATAAAAACGATGATATTTTTTATTTGAAGATGAGTCAATAAAAATGGAGCAAGCGGTCAAAAGTGATAATTTTTAATTAGTAATCTTTAACTTAAAAAAAACGTTTGTCAGAGCTGATTCTAAAAATCAATTAATCACTTTTTAACAAGAAACTATTTATAAGTAGTTTTTGCTAGAGTCCTTTATTATAGCTTTGCAAAAAGATGTGCTACATGGTTTTTTCGTGATAATGGTCGAGAAGATTTTAGATTGTCTGTTGTTCTATATTTTCAATTTATATTTTCGATCGATTACATTTATATTTCTTCGAAATCAATAAAACTCTTAAAATCAATAGAATCTCCGATTCGCACATGGCATCGTGATCTGCAGAGGCCACATCTTTTGCAAAGCGCAGTAAGTTTGCAAATGTTAAAGTCAGGTTGAATCGATTTAGACAAGTAAAAAAATAAATCAGAATTACGTCTCTAGCAACAAGAAAATTCCTTTATATATTATTATTATTATCAGTAATTCATTCATTATTTTTTGCTTTAAATTTTTTCAACCGTAACTGATAAAATTAGCAACATACCTTCTAACAACTGTAGTACAACCTTATCATGCATTTTCTGAACTTCTAATACATAATTTTATTGTTAACAAAATAAATTAGTTCTGATGTTGGATATAGGTCTGCGAAACTCTAATCGTTAATTAACTATCCAGCAATTTTTGTGATGCATGAAGAAAAATCTTAAAAATTTAACAATAAAATTTTATTTTAAAAAATTTAAGTTCACTTTACACAAATTGATATTAATATACACGAACAAGCCCTGTTAAAAGAAAACAAAAGATTTTAGGCTTGTTTTTAAAGGCTCAGTTGATTTAGTTAAAAACAAAAAGCTATCGCTTTTCTTATTGTTTTGTACATTCTTTATATAAGCCACATACACTTTTTAACGGCCATATGCAAAATATTTTCATTTTTCCAACATGGCTTAGCTTTTTCCGGAATTTGACTTTCGCCGGGAGTTTTGATTTTTGCAAGGGTTCCGCAATTTTGTCGAAGATTTTATTGCTAGTTTAGGTTTCGTCTTTCGTCATTTATGTAAAATGGTTTCTTCCAGCAACTATATGCAGATACGGAGACATCCATTTTGGTCAAAATGCATCAAAAAGTAATTTTACATAAAAAATTAATGCCATCATTACGAAATACCATACTAATCTGCAGCACATTTTCAAACTAAATGACGTAATAAGTCTGATCAAAAGCAAGAATTTGCGCAGACACTTCACTCCTCACATAATCATTACACTCTTTTCCTGGTAATCTTAATGAATCACGCCCGTTATACGTATTCCGCGCTGAATATTGTCCATAACTTAAAGTAATACCTAATCAATTTCCAATTACATTAGGAATCAATCTCTCTATCACTATATCAATCATGGAATTAGAGCACAGGATTAATAATTACACGTTATAATAAATATTATTGGCTACTACGCAACCATTTAATGAATGGCTTTGGTGTTTTCATTATAAATAATTACCAGCAAATGCAGCAATACGGTAAATGCGCTGTAAAAAAAAAAAAAAGTATTCTCTTTAAAAAACAATCTTATTAGAAAATGATTATTTTAACGCACTCTAAATTTAGTGTTATATTCCTAATTCTCAGAATATTGTTATTATTGTTATTATGCCATTTAGCTTCGGCTCAACGGGCAAAAATAATAACGCATAATGCTTTTTCTGAGTATAAAATCAACTTTATAAGACAACCACATCTTTGTGATAAAACCGTTCAACAGGTTAATTTGAATTATTTAGTTAGAATAATAAATCTTTGATGATTATTTAATACTAAATTTTTAAATATTAGTATTCAGGATATATTAATGTTAAAGACACTAAACATTTATTCTTTTGGTTTTTTGAATCAAGAAATAAACCTCAAGAAGATCCGATTGTTCTTTGGGTATGTAAATGCAGTAACTTATGTATCTTTGTTGATTATTAAGCAAAAAAAGTAAATAAAATTTATTAAAAATAGCTTAGCGGTGGTCCAGGGTATAATACTTCTTAAATCTTTATTTACAACAATATAAAGGATGTATATTTCTCAAAATTTTATATTTAATATCGGGTAATAAGATCGGCCTATATTAGGTTGCATCGGTTCCATAAAAGGCGAGACAGATAAAATAGAATAGTGATGGTAGTAAGTTATCGCGATCTAGCAATTTTGAATTCTCATAACTAACAATCCTTATGATCGCCTGCTTGATTTTGCGCATAATTTATAGTTATTGTATGGGTATGTAATGAATAACCCAGTTACACACGGGTTCATATTCCGTGCCGAAGGCACGGGATTTAAATATGAACCCGTGTGTGTAACTGGGTTATTCATACCCATACAATAACTATCTTATTGCACGGTGTCTGACATAACAATCCCGTGCCAATAAGTAATGAAAAAAGCACGGGTTGTCACATAAGACCCGTGCAATAATATTTATTTACATCCGTTTTTTTACCTAATCAAATCAAGCATGTTTTCTAAAAGGACCGTTTTGAGACTGCTGTTTCATAAATTTTGGAACAAATGAAAAATTTGCCAAAGACCGAATCGTAAGTTTTTGATTTTGACTGACGTCGATACCAACTTCGAAAAATTTTTCAATAAACCAGAATGTATGAAATTCATTTTTCATAAGACCGGGCGAGGAGTCAATGTAGAGGGCATTGATAGAAGAGATTATATGATGCAGACTTACTGCATTGACTTTTATTATTATTATGCCGTCCATAATTCCCTGACGAACACATCTATGGGAAATGGACTAGGAAAATCACCGTTCGGCACTTATTTTCAAATGGTGATTTATCTAGTCTATTTCCCCGTATACGCAGTTATAATATTGTGAAACTCGATGCCACTTAGATCTTTAATAATCATCTGGCAGCTTTGGCACAGAAAATAATTACATGAACACGGGATATGATGCTAAATCACGTAAACAATGCGTACGTACGTAACATAACATATTACATGTAAGTTGTCATTTCCATATGACGATTTAGCATTACATTTCGTGCCCATTAATATTTCGTCCTGAAATTTTGAGTCACATGTACATCCTATAGATGGTGGTAGAATTCAAAAATTGAAATTATGACAATGATTACTGATCATTTTCATTGGTAAACTTTTGTTTTTTTTTTGAATTCTATTACCATCTATACTATATCATATATCTTGATATTATTATTTTATTATTACTTATGTTTTTAATTATATATAATAGGAGTCCTTCCACAAAAGCTATCTTCGCTGGAATTGGTCCTTGTTTTGTTAACCCAGGAGGAATGGATACAACACCTAATCCTTATTCATGGAATAGCAATTCTAGTTTTATTTTCTTGGATCAAGTATTAAAAGAAGATTTATAATATTTTTAATACTATGTATTTTGTATAATTATTAATAATACCAACTACAATATAAATAATTTTTATAGCCAGTTAATACAGGATATTCTTATGGTAAATATGTACCCGATACCTTCGCCGCTGCATATGATATATACGCATTTTTACAAATCTTTTTCCAAGAATTTTGTCAATATGCTAATTTAGATTTCCATATTGCTGGTGAATCGTAAGCATTTTTAATACTATTAACATTGTTATCATTGTTAATATTGTCTAGGAAAAAATTGCAAAATAATAATTTATTTGTACTATTATTAACAGCTACGCAGGACATTTCATACCCGCTATAGCCTCAGTTATAAACAATTATAATAATATCGATAGTACAAAGAATCTTATTCATATTAATCTTAAATCTATTTTGATGGGAAATGCTCTAGTAAACTCTTTAGTGCAACAAAAATATTTACCAAAAATGGCCTGTATTAACTGGCTATAAAAATTATTTATATTGTAGTTGGTATTATTAATAATTATACAAAATACATAGTATTAAAAATATTATAAATCTTCTTTTAATACTTGATCCAAGAAAATAAAACTAGAATTGCTATTCCATGAATAAGGATTAGGTGTTGTATCCATTCCTCCTGGGTTAACAAAACAAGGACCAATTCCAGCGAAGATAGCTTTTGTGGAAGGACTCCTATTATATATAATTAAAAACATAAGTAATAATAAAATAATAATATCAAGATATATGATATAGTATAGATGGTAATAGAATTCAAAAAAAAAACAAAAGTTTACCAATGAAAATGATCAGTAATCATTGTCATAATTTCAATTTTTGAATTCTACCACCATCTATAGGATGTACATGTGACTCAAAATTTCAGGACGAAATATTAATGGGCACGAAATGTAATGCTAAATCGTCATATGGAAATGACAACTTACATGTAATATGTTATGTTACGTACGTACGCATTGTTTACGTGATTTAGCATCATATCCCGTGTTCATGTAATTATTTTCTGTGCCAAAGCTGCCAGATGATTATTAAAGATCTAAGTGGCATCGAGTTTCACAATATTATAACTGCGTATACGGGGAAATAGACTAGATAAATCACCATTTGAAAATAAGTGCCGAACGGTGATTTTCCTAGTCCATTTCCCATAGATGTGTTCGTCAGGGAATTATGGACGGCATAATAATAATAAAAGTCAATGCAGTAAGTCTGCATCATATAATCTCTTCTATCAATGCCCTCTACATTGACTCCTCGCCCGGTCTTATGAAAAATGAATTTCATACATTCTGGTTTATTGAAAAATTTTTCGAAGTTGGTATCGACGTCAGTCAAAATCAAAAACTTACGATTCGGTCTTTGGCAAATTTTTCATTTGTTCCAAAATTTATGAAACAGCAGTCTCAAAACGGTCCTTTTAGAAAACATGCTTGATTTGATTAGGTAAAAAAACGGATGTAAATAAATATTATTGCACGGGTCTTATGTGACAACCCGTGCTTTTTTCATTACTTATTGGCACGGGATTGTTATGTCAGACACCGTGCAATAAGATAGTTATTGTATGGGTATGAATAACCCAGTTACACACACGGGTTCATATTTAAATCCCGTGCCTTCGGCACGGAATATGAACCCGTGTGTAACTGGGTTATTCATTACATACCCATACAATAACTATAAATTATGCGCAAAATCAAGCAGGCGATCATAAGGATTGTTAGTTATGAGAATTCAAAATTGCTAGATCGCGATAACTTACTACCATCACTATTCTATTTTATCTGTCTCGCCTTTTATGGAACCGATGCAACCTAATATAGGCCGATCTTATTACCCGATATTAAATATAAAATTTTGAGAAATATACATCCTTTATATTGTTGTAAATAAAGATTTAAGAAGTATTATACCCTGGACCACCGCTAAGCTATTTTTAATAAATTTTATTTACTTTTTTTGCTTAATAATCAACAAAGATACATAAGTTACTGCATTTACATACCCAAAGAACAATCGGATCTTCTTGAGGTTTATTTCTTGATTCAAAAAACCAAAAGAATAAATGTTTAGTGTCTTTAACATTAATATATCCTGAATACTAATATTTAAAAATTTAGTATTAAATAATCATCAAAGATTTATTATTCTAACTAAATAATTCAAATTAACCTGTTGAACGGTTTTATCACAAAGATGTGGTTGTCTTATAAAGTTGATTTTATACTCAGAAAAAGCATTATGCGTTATTATTTTTGCCCGTTGAGCCGAAGCTAAATGGCATAATAACAATAATAACAATATTCTGAGAATTAGGAATATAACACTAAATTTAGAGTGCGTTAAAATAATCATTTTCTAATAAGATTGTTTTTTAAAGAGAATACTTTTTTTTTTTTTTACAGCGCATTTACCGTATTGCTGCATTTGCTGGTAATTATTTATAATGAAAACACCAAAGCCATTCATTAAATGGTTGCGTAGTAGCCAATAATATTTATTATAACGTGTAATTATTAATCCTGTGCTCTAATTCCATGATTGATATAGTGATAGAGAGATTGATTCCTAATGTAATTGGAAATTGATTAGGTATTACTTTAAGTTATGGACAATATTCAGCGCGGAATACGTATAACGGGCGTGATTCATTAAGATTACCAGGAAAAGAGTGTAATGATTATGTGAGGAGTGAAGTGTCTGCGCAAATTCTTGCTTTTGATCAGACTTATTACGTCATTTAGTTTGAAAATGTGCTGCAGATTAGTATGGTATTTCGTAATGATGGCATTAATTTTTTATGTAAAATTACTTTTTGATGCATTTTGACCAAAATGGATGTCTCCGTATCTGCATATAGTTGCTGGAAGAAACCATTTTACATAAATGACGAAAGACGAAACCTAAACTAGCAATAAAATCTTCGACAAAATTGCGGAACCCTTGCAAAAATCAAAACTCCCGGCGAAAGTCAAATTCCGGAAAAAGCTAAGCCATGTTGGAAAAATGAAAATATTTTGCATATGGCCGTTAAAAAGTGTATGTGGCTTATATAAAGAATGTACAAAACAATAAGAAAAGCGATAGCTTTTTGTTTTTAACTAAATCAACTGAGCCTTTAAAAACAAGCCTAAAATCTTTTGTTTTCTTTTAACAGGGCTTGTTCGTGTATATTAATATCAATTTGTGTAAAGTGAACTTAAATTTTTTAAAATAAAATTTTATTGTTAAATTTTTAAGATTTTTCTTCATGCATCACAAAAATTGCTGGATAGTTAATTAACGATTAGAGTTTCGCAGACCTATATCCAACATCAGAACTAATTTATTTTGTTAACAATAAAATTATGTATTAGAAGTTCAGAAAATGCATGATAAGGTTGTACTACAGTTGTTAGAAGGTATGTTGCTAATTTTATCAGTTACGGTTGAAAAAATTTAAAGCAAAAAATAATGAATGAATTACTGATAATAATAATAATATATAAAGGAATTTTCTTGTTGCTAGAGACGTAATTCTGATTTATTTTTTTACTTGTCTAAATCGATTCAACCTGACTTTAACATTTGCAAACTTACTGCGCTTTGCAAAAGATGTGGCCTCTGCAGATCACGATGCCATGTGCGAATCGGAGATTCTATTGATTTTAAGAGTTTTATTGATTTCGAAGAAATATAAATGTAATCGATCGAAAATATAAATTGAAAATATAGAACAACAGACAATCTAAAATCTTCTCGACCATTATCACGAAAAAACCATGTAGCACATCTTTTTGCAAAGCTATAATAAAGGACTCTAGCAAAAACTACTTATAAATAGTT